AATAAAGTAACTTCGTTATTTTTCGATGTATGGTTGTACAAATTGGCGGATGCAGAACGTTACTTAAGTTGTTAAAAAATATATGTAGAATGAAATTTATATAAAGTAGAAAAAGTTTAGATCCTGTTGTTCTTTAAAAAATTAATTGTTAGAAACGTTCTACTTTATAGAAAATGCTAAATATTACCTCAATATTTAACATATTATCCTTATATTGCCTCGCATCCTTATTTGTGCATGAATAGAAAATATTTAAGTCNTGCTTAGTTCACAAGATATCGGACCGTAATATTTTTTGACAGACTTCCTTTGTCCTTAGGAACACTTTAGGCTATATTTTTTCTAAGTCTAAACATTTTCTAGTAGCGAACTCCACAATTTTTTGCCACTTTTCCTACGGTCCCGCCTTTCCGCAGTACATCTATTATTTACATTTATGGTTCCTTATTAACCACAATATTTACTAGTGATAACTTCTTTAAGAAATTACAATACAGAAAAAAGTAATCTAACTTCCAACTAAGTAAAATGCAAAACTGAGAGTGAGTGCAAAACTGTAACATTTGCCTTAATTTACATTTTTGTCTGCTGGTTTTTTTATTGTTGTTGTATTGACTTCAAATCGTTATGAGAGAGGGAGTAAGGGTGTACCAACAAGAATATACATCAAAATGATGAAAGTCGTTAGAACTTGGAAATATAGCGGTGGCTGAAAGAAAAAGTGTTACACCATGTTATAGTTTTACTCGTCACTGTATATATATATATATATATATATATAGAATGAAAGGTCCTTCAATCACCTTTCCAACTGTGTCCATATTTTGAAAATCGGTTCATAGTTTTTGAAATATAAGCTTTTGAAAACATTGGAAATTCCACGTTTAGCCACCAAGGGATGAACCATGGCCACTTTTTCTTTTTTCACCAGCTCAACGGTCCGTATTATTAAAAATCGACGCAATTCTTTAGCATCTTAAAACTTGCATATTACTACCCTGGAATTTAATGGGCTATTAAACTGCTTACTAAACAAAAATTCTAAAAAACCTGCATAAAAGTTGAATATTTAGCTGAAACTTTGTAGATTTTTTATAATTTTTCCGCAATGTTTGTAATGTGGATTTATAAGCTATACCTAGACTTTTATGGGCAAAAGAAAAATAGTCAAAATTTATCAAAATGTTGATGACTTAATTAGCTGATCACAAGTGTATGTCATATATTAGTGGAGTTCACCCAAGTGAGAAAGTGGCCTGGCAGTCTGGCAAAAGAGCAGATCAGCTCAAGCAACGACAGTTGTCAACAGTCGTGGTCTTTTACCAGAGTGCCAGGCCACTTGCTCAATTTGGTGAATACCACTATTGATTTCAATTTGGTTATTATACACCGTCTGTTCGAGGTGATTGACGATTTACAGGTTTTTATAGCAAACTGTTCCCAGTCGCCACCTTCCTTAATAATGGAGAAACCCGATTTTCCTGCAAATCCTGAAAAGCCTACTAATAGTAAAGTCCTTGGAACAAGGCTACTATGTTATTAACAATAAATATGTGTTATATTGATTTCACTTTGTTTACTGCACTATGTTATAAACAAAGTACCCAGAAGATAATTTAGGTAGGCCTTCTTAAGTGAAGCCACCCTAAGAGGCCTACCCAAGAAGGCCTGAAAAAGTACTTCCTTGCATGCCTTCTAGAAGGGCTTTACAATTTACACGATTGCATAAATTTATATTATTTAACATTACAAATGAATTCCAATTAAAATTTTAAGTTACAATAACACATATTTGATATAAACCTTAAGCAAATACTTCAAAGATGTATGATCTTTATAAATTAAAGAAGCAACTTTAAAGAACCTTCTATGGGTAGCGAAAGAGGAAGCCCGGGAAAACTTTAGCTATTTGTACAACGATTTAGGGGTGGGGGCGGAGGGGGGGGGGG